ATAATTTCATAGATTCAAATACTCTGCTAAATCGACCGCCAGAGGTCACTCTTCTCCTATAAAAACTCGTTGTTATTTTATCCCATTGGCCGGCTCAAAACTTTTGTATATTACGTAAATAATCTTTTGTTTTTCTTTTGTTCTACTCGCCTTAAGCCAGGCAGTACTTTAATCAAATTATGTTTCTCATATATATTCCTTAGCTCAAATAAAGAAATCTCTGATCAAGAGACTTTATATTTTCAAGATTATTATTCAACCACGACTGCACCACCATAGCTTAATTCTCAAGATAACCAAAATCAAGATAATCACAACAATTCCAAAATCAACAGAAAATCTCTTTTCTTCATATAATATATATATTTTTTTTTAATTAGATCAAATGGCATAGATCAAACTGAAGCAACCGCTGGAAGATTCAATCAGGGTAAAGCAACCCCCATCAGTGAGTAAGAGTAGCCAAACGGGGCTCTGGCACACTTGTAACTGCAAACTATTCAAACTGACTTCTACATATCTATGTGCTGTACTAAAGGAAGTACATGTTTAGACATTATTAGTATAGCCTGCACCAAATGTACAAAGAATAATAATTTGAAAAATATTTTTCTAATTATTCTTTTCAATTTTCTCAGAATGGTAAAAAATATGTATATACTCGTATATGTATACTCGTATATGTGTACTCGTATATGTATATACTCGTATAATAAAAGGTATATCAAGGTTTCGGGTAATGGCCATCATCAGTATAAAGCTGGTGACAATTTGGTGACATTCTATCTGAGAATAAATAGACCTGTATTGTCTACAAGGTTATTAAATGCTAAAGACGATTCTATAACCGAACTAAGACATTTTAAACGTACAATTGAAAGGAAGATATAAGGGGAAGAACGCTATAATATAAAACTTTGAATTAGAAACTAACTTTGTTTCTTTCACTTTACATTTTAGTCGTTGAAAGTATGGCTTTTTTAATCTTGTTGACAATTGCAGATATTTCTACGATATTTGATATGCAGATATTTGCATAGAGTTTTGTTATTGTTTAGGCTAATTTACATCTGTGCCTATATAGCGCGGCCTTGTTGGATTGTTGGGTAGGCTAGTGGTTATTGGATAGGGCAGGTTGGCGTGAGCTGCTGATGTACATATAATTTGATCTCTTTTATAGTTTTATACCTTTAGGTAATAAAGGATCTTTCTCTTCCTTTATGAATCTATCATTTCCCCCAACAAATATCTCAATAGATATTCTATTATTAAAGTTTTAATTATTAATGAAGCGCCTAAAATGAAATAGTTAAAGAAGAGTTTATGATCGAAAGCTAGCGTTTATAATACGCACACAATAAATAAATATATGTAGTAATGTAGTTGTTGTATCTTGTTAGATGAATGTAGTGTGGCATGTTGGTTGCAGTCGTGGTGGCCACAATGATTAGAGTGGGTTCAGGTGTGATTGGGATTACACAAAAGGACGAGGCATGTTGGATGGCACCACAGAGTTTAGGTAAGAAAGGGCACACCCAGGAACCCGACTTGTTTTTCGGACCTCTTTCCTCCTTCTGACGTCGACTGTCACTCACTCGAAATTTTATTTGTCACTTTGGCAATTACATTATAACTATAACACATGGAGATATAGATATATATTGGAATATATTACAACATGTATGAACTTATTGTGTTAATTCTCTATTGATGTTGTTATGTAGGGAATAATGAAAGACAAAACTTCAGAATGACCAGGCAATTTATTTAAAGTAAAAACATATTTAACATTTATAGGATACAAAATAAGCAATAATGAGGTTTCCAGAGTGCCAAAAAAATAAATAATATAAATATCAAAACATTTATAATCTGTATATAACATATAATAATTACTTTTCTACAATTTATCTACCAAAACTCTTTCTTACAATTGATAAATTAATTGGAATTTGATATAATATATATAATGAAGAAAAAAAATTGTATATAATATATAAATGATAAAATAAATCCATTCGGAAATATATAAATAAATATTCAAAGTAAATTTGTAAAACAAACAAAAAAACGTTTGATTAATCACGATTTAGAATTTTAAAAATGGAATTGCTATTTTGAGATTTTTTTTATAAATGCCTCCTCTATATGGGTTAAAAAAACTTATAAAAAATAATCAAAATAACTTGAAATAATTGCTCGCTTCATTGGATTTAAATTCGCCTGCCTGTCAGTAACAAATATCTAATAGATAAAAGAAAAATGATATTTATTGATTTTTTTAGATTTATCACTGAAACTATTTTGAATAATTCGACGATCTGTTGAGGAATGGTTTTAAGCTTCATTTAATATATCGTCAGCTAATATGTAAATTTAATGGCAGTAATTAAACTTATATATATGTTGTTAGTATTATATCTTCATATAGTGTATTTCCATTAACTTCAAGAAGTAAAGGATTGCCAATCTTTGTTTCTCATGATTGTAAAAGAAATGCTTCAATGGCCCCCGATTCTTGCAAAAGTCCAACCCCACCAGCGAGCCAAGTAACCAAACGGGGATCTGGCACGTTTTTAAGCGCAAAGTCGAACTGCTTTTCACATGTGTAGACATGTGGTGCACTTACAGTAAAAGCAGTCCCCAACTTCGACCCACCATGATTATCATGACCTGTACCACCTGTATTAGGGATAATAATAAAAAAGTTTCCCTGATATTTGGTTAACCTATTTTATTGATAAATAAAGAAAAGCTAACCATAAACGCGTTTCGGGCTGTTGGTCCTCGTCAGCGTGGAGCAGGCTGTACCTCTACGACAGGTAGTTTTTTTTTTGGTCTCAGAGGTTTCTTGAGAGAAAAATAAATGGATATTTAACGCCAAACTTGCTAAAAATACGCTAAACATGTAGAAATGTATTTGTATAAGTAAATTACTATGTATAAATATGTATATTTGTATTATTTACTTCTTGAAAATATTGACAAGTTTTTTTTTCCAATAAAATAATTTCATGTGCCAATATTAAGGTGAAAGGAATAACTTTCCTTTTTTAAAAAAATGTGTTTTCTCCTGTAAGAAAGGCTTTCATACTCTAAAGCTACAGATTTGAGAATAAAAATTTTGAAGAAACTTTTCTAAGGTGGCCTGATGTTTCACCCCAATATTTTTTCTAGACATCAATGAACAAAAGATTTTACTTTATTAAAAAAATCTTTTTTTTTTTTGGTTCAAAATGAGAAAACATATTCAAATATAATTTGATGATAATGATAATGATTAACGCAGAAGATATTCGTAGACCATCATTATCAATTGTTCCAACCAGTTGCGCGGCACTTTGAGAATGTGACATTGTTTTATTTACATATTGGCACTGAGAATGTTGATCTGGAGCAGATTTGGCTAACGGGATTTGAAAGATTCTTGAGAAAATTGAGACAAAACCGAGATTTGGTGGAAGTAATGACAAAATATATAAACTGGATATATAATCAGGATGGGGGACATATATTAAGAGAGGATATGAAATTATGAACAAAGTTGCAGAAGGTAAACTCGATGGGAAGAGAATGGAAGGAAGAAGAATTGGACGATGAACTGAAAGCTATGAAGTAATAAAGAAGACAGAGGTTTTGGTGCCAATGGAGAGACCAGCACATACTATGTCATTAGAGTTTTTTACCCAAATATGATTAATATTTTCACTTGTTTTATTTCTTTTTTAAATGGGAATAGCGCTCCTTTTTCTTGGAATTTGAAAATTAATATTTTTATCACAAAATAATCAGCATTTATATTCCAGGGTTATCAAAGTGTGACTCCTTCCATACCTGACTCCATATTGTATTATTTTTTATCATCAGCATAGGTTGAATATCGTAGTCAGAAAACAAACAGAATATGCAAATTACCTAAACATGTACATAATAAAAGTTTAGCTTAGAACGGTGACTCCTGCAGATTTATTTCCATATCGTGTTTATGTTCTATCATCAGCATTAGTTACATATTGTAGTGACAGAATATTCAAATTACCCAGACTTGTATATATAATTGTTCTTTGGGCTTAGAACTCCTTCCAAACATATTTCCATACCGTGTCAATGTTTCATCATCAAGATTGGTCGAATAATTTTGGCAGATCTAACAGAATATGCAAATTATTCAGACTTGTATACCTACAAGTAGATTAGCTTCGGACTGTAACTACCTCCAAACCTAAGTCTTCATGGTCCCAAAGTTGCATAGATGGGTTATAATATTGTGTAAATTTACGCGGAACAAACATTTATTCTATATTTACATATAGCATATAAAATAAGCTTGATATAGAGCATCGAACTACGTTCTCTACAAGGCGAAGAACTCTTTCCATTGAATGTATATGCATATAGCAGTGTCTATTGAGACACGGGACTAGAAGCAGACAAGAAAAAACCAATCTGCATATATCCAAGATAACAAAACTAAACAAGGAATTCAACTAAAACGAAAAAGGGAATTTCAAAAAGCACCTGATTCAACAGAATGTCAAAGAAAGACCATTCAAACACGGAGCGAAATAAAAGAAAAAGGAGTTAATGTATAAAGGAAGTAAAAACGAGGGTTAACTATCTTTCCAAACATTTCAATCTAAATTCAATTTAATGCTAATGCTATTTGAGACTAGGAATGTTAAAGAAGGTTTCTTCCTCTCGAATAAAAAGTCTTCAATTGAAATTAATAGGTTCGTTTCGGTTTTATATTTTATAGATGATAAATGCAAATTGAATTGATCGTTTACCTCCTTTTTTTCAACAACGCAATATTTGAAGAGAGAGATGAAATTATTTATCTGGCTTTATATCAAATACTAGCCGAATGACCAGGGCAACGCCCGGGTTTTACCCGATTAAATGCTTTTATTCAAATACTATTCGTTACAATTATGAATTGGCGCCGTGGATGTCATTCTTGTATAATATATAAATGAGTTTTAAAAATTGTAAAAAAAATGTGCATCGGCCGGGAATCGAACCCGGGCCGGCCGCCCGCGTGGCAGGCGAGCATTCTACCACTAAACCACCGATGGTTATGAGAAATGGCCTTATTTGGGTATTTATTCCATTCACAAAGCAAACGGTGACAGAATTGATTAAGAATTGTTGCTTTTTTATGACGCTGATAACTGTATATATTAATATTGTATATATTGCAAAAATAAGTATCTCTACCTTTAAAAATGAATTAAAACAATGCGTTTTATTTATTATAAAAGAATAAAATGTAATGGTTTTGATGCAATTTTGAAAGGAGAGGTGCTTTTATTGGTACATAAGTACCATCCCCCCGCAACTCTTCGTTATATACGAGGGGAACATGGGAAAGGTTCTCTGACTGACAATGAAGCCTCTGATTTCAGTTAAGAGAAAATTCTCTATATAATCTTTCTTGACTTCAACATACTTGGTCCAGCGTTTCTCCAATATCAATATTCCTTCCAAGAAATGAGAGTATATAAGGCTGCTAAAATATTCATCTAGCCTTCTTAACTTCTTCATTGGACATGAAGCGCTTTCCAGAAACAAATTTCTTTAGGTATGAGAAGAAATGGAAGTCTTAGGGTGTCAAATCAGGAGAATAGGGGGAGGAAAGAGCAAATAATAACTCAAATCTCGCAGTTTTTCCGTTGACAACACATATTTGTGAGCAGGTACGTTGTCCTGGTGAAAGATGCTTTTTTTTCTACTTCAAGTTAGGTTTCTTCTCGCAAGGTTTGACATCCAGATTTTCAAGAAGGTTAGAGTAATATTCACCTGTGATAGTTCTGATATTCTCAAGGTACTCAATTAACAGAGTCCCTTTGGCATCAAAAACACACTGGCCATGACCTTTCCGGCCGATGCGATCAACTTTGGCGCTGGACCACCAGCTTCCACTCACCGCCTTGACTACTGTTTGGTTTCTGGCGTGTAGTGATCACAAATTCGGTCAGATCCTTCTTTAATCGTTCCAACCATTGATGCGAGTGTAGTTTGCGCATTCCTCATTCTTCGTGTAAGATGTTCCGTACCCTTTCTTCCGATATTCTAACGGCACCAGCGATCTCACACACATCTAACTCACCTATCTTCCAACACAATAATTTGAACGATAATGTATTTTGATAAATTCCAATATCTTCCCGGGGAAAAATATATCATATAAGCCAAACAATTATATTTTTACCGCTAAACACCTCTGAAGATTCTGAGGATTCTGAATATTTGATGAATCCTTTGTGGATCTCGTGAAATCAAAGCATCAAAGTTGCTAAGGATGATATTCATGTATCTTTAAAAAGGCACTTCTCCCTTTCAATTATACACAAGAACGATATGACACTATGAATCACCCAAATAAAAACCTCACCAAAGATGAACCACAATGATGAACCACAACACCAGTTTTGGCAAAATTCTGACCAAAAGCCAACCTTTATACCAATCAAACAATTCCATATCAATTCAATCAAAGCGTGAGTTATACTGATTTACTGATGTTTTAAATTATATAATAGTTATTAATATAAAATATAAATAGTGATATTGAATTTTATAAGTTTTATTGCCATCTATCGTTGATATATGTAATATATAAATTTACTGGCAATGTGTTTCTTTTAAATATTAAAAATATTTATATAAATATAAAAATATATATATATTGCTAGGAAATTCATATGTTACAAATTACACACAGAGATATTGATAAAATATTCGAACTAGGTATCTAAGAAAGTAATGAAACAACATTTGACATGTTAACTAAATAATTTGAATAGTTACCGTCGATTACTAAGTGGTGTGGGTACAGAACCATTTAGCTGCCACTCCACATTAACACTCCTCACTATTTGTGTCTTTTTTTTTAATAACGGATTATTGATTTTTGGTAAATGTGAGATATCGTTTTGTCTGCTTCGCATGAAGCTTCATTTACCTTCATGTTATTTTGTTGAAAAAGATCTTTTATCTTTCATTTTGACATACCTAAGTCAGTATTTAAAGTAAATCAGTATTTCGGTGGGCGAAACATATCGTTTATTGGTGGAAAAAAAGATAAAGATTTCGAAAACAATGTTTTTCTTATGACGAATTTTTATTTTCTTCAACCTATAAAAGAGCATTTTCTCGAAAGATTGTGTTTTTTTCACTTACCAATAAACGACAATCCCAATGACATCCTGACTTCAGTTAGGGAGAATACCAGGTAAAATCTCAGTCAGTATTTAAAAAAAGGAGTAATCTCTCACTCCCTATTTCAATATTTTATGAAAAAATCTTATCACAAAAAAAAATGTTTTTTTTAATCAATATTTCGTAAATTTATACGCGTACGAACAGAAATATATTATCCAAGATATGGAAGAATATTTCCCATTGGTGTATTGTTCTCAGGAAATATGCAAAAAGGAAATAAAGACAGCTCAATTAAATAACTATAATTAAAATATCCAAAACTAAATGACAGAGAGAAACAGGATATATTACTTAACATAGAAAATGAATCCATTCATCAATGTAAACAATATGTAAATACGTAAATATATGTTCCACAATGATCAATTCCATTTAATAACATTGTTGCATATACCAAAGTATATATGCAAAATAGAGAAAAGGTTATAAACAAAATGTAAAATATTTGCATACACACAGTCGAACATTTAACAAAGTTGTTTCTCTCACTGACTATCGCAGGATACTCGAGAGAGTATTTTAAGAATGGAATTCTTTCGGAGATAAATTCGAAATTAAAACACGTTGAATAGGGAAGTGAAATTTCATCAAATGACGTTTTTTATTTAACACTTACGTTAAAACCAAACACCGTTAGATTCGTTTTAAACAAAGTTAAAAAATAAATTCAATAAAAAGGGGTAAAAAAAAAGAAATAATTTATACAATTGTATTAAAAGGACAATCTATATTGTTCTTATTAAAATTCATGAAACTTGGTAATAAGTTTAAACATCCTTCTTGGGAAATTTAGTTATTTATATTTGCTAAAATGTTGTCATTAAAATTGTATTTATTTGAAACTTAACCATCTCCACTTTATTCTGTAGCGATTGTTTTGTGTTTTGGACAGTTTAAAAGATACACATTGATGCTCATAATATATTTGAATTTATGAAAGGAATAATTTCATTTAATTATTAATTTTTGATATATTGTGTTAATTTATATATATATTTTTGTTATCGATGTTTTTTTTTTCAATCGTTGGAATCATAACTTTCCAGGCCTGGCTCATCAGTGAAGGACACTATCAGTGAATTAATCTTCAGACTCTCTTGTTTACATTTAAACCTGGGTTAGTGCTCACACTGACCGGCCACATCGACCTGCTGCCCACTCTGTGGAACTCTCTCAGTGCATCGGTGGTGGCGGAGTCTGCCCCGCGGTGGGCGCCACCAATGACGACATGGTAAATATATATATATATGTTAAATAAAAATATTATTTCATTTAAAATTAAATATCATAGATTCAAATACACTGCTAAATCGACCGCCAGAGGTCACTCTTCCCTTATAAAAACTCGTTGTTGTTTTATCCCGCTGGCCGGCTCAAAACTTTTGTACATTATGTGAATAATCTTTTGTTTTTCTTATTCTACTCGCCTTAAGCCAGGCATTACTTTTACCAAATTATGTTTTATATATATTTCTTAGCTCAAATAAAGAAATCTCTGATCAAAACTATTTTATTATTATAGTTTCAAGATTTTAACCACGACTGCATCACCATTACAATAATCCTCAACATGATCTAAATTCAAGCAGAAAATCTCTTTTTTTATATTATATAATACTAGCCGAATGACCCGGGCAACGCCCGTGTTTTACCCGATTGAATGTTTTTATTCAAATACTATTTGTTACAATTATAAATTGGCGCCTTAAATAAATGCATATATTAGTTAATAACTATAGCCTATGTGCTTTATCTGTCTATGTACTGTTGGCTTCCGTAGGCGTCTCTTACTGGGAAAAAGAAAGGGAGGATTCCATTTAGTTATTAACTAATATATGCATTTATTTAAGGAGCGACCCGCTCCAACACAATAGTTACAAAAACCAAAAAGCTAGTGGGGGGGGCAAAGTCAAAAACAAAGTGTCTCGCGTAGTGGTGGCGCCATCGTAGCCACGTGATCGTAGCCAACCAATAGGAGAGCGCCATTCCAAAGAAAAAGCAAACGGTGACAGAGATGACGCATGACGCTCGTAACTGTATATAGAATATATTATAAATCAAATAAATAGAACAAATATATATAGCACAAATATATAGAACAAAATAGACATATCCTGACTGCTCACATGAGATTTTTAGATGGCCATCTAGTGGAACAGATCTATTTGTGTTTATAACTCCTAGTACAGAAGGTTATGGTAGAGATGAATAAGGTCTCCTAACTACAGGTTTTGAAAGTGGTTGGTGTTTGTCTGAATTTTCCTAAACTGGTGTTGGGGAACATTCTCCATCATAACGTTCTATACTGGCTGGTGGAATCAGAAATACGTGGTCTAATCATTGTTTGAAGGGAGAAGTTCCTCTTTTGGTACATGAATATCATTCTACCGTAAATTTATACAGTAGAACTTGGATAATTCGAACTTCTTTAATTCGAAAACCTCTTTAATTCGAATATTTATCTTGGTCCCTAGAATTCCCTATAAATTAAATTTACGTTTTTAATTCGAATTTTTGGATAATTCGAATTTTTTTTATGGTCCCTTGGGGTTCGAATTATCCAAGTTCGACTGTATAATGAAATTCTTTGATTAAAACTATTAAAACAATTTATGTTAATAAATATATATTAAAAGGGAGAGGTGCTCTCTCTCTTTTTTTTTTAAACACGGATAGCACTTTTTCTACATTGACTATATCTGCATATATACGTCATGTGGTTGTTGTACCTTGAAAAAGGTTGTCATTCAGCCAATTGAAATATTGGTATATGAATTATTTTTCGATCCAATATATATGCCTTTTGAGACATGTGTTTATTTGAGGCTATGTCTATTTCAGAATATGAACA